CAGAGCTCATTCTAGGCAGGGTAAACAGGGCGCAGCACCCTGCTGCCCTTTTAGTCAAAAGAATTCACCCTGTTGCCCCTGAAGTAAATTAGTGCCCTGATGTAATAGACTCCATACCCTTTTTGCCCTTTCTTTCCTCAACCCTTCTTTACTTTTTCCCCAAACTCTACAATGGATTTCATGAACTGTTATTTTTAACTCTAGTTTGCCATTGCTGTCAATACATAGTTTAATATGGGAAAGGAAAAATAGCCATCATAACCCATTGTTGCACTTGTCTTTGAAAGTTTGCAGTTACTTCCACTATCATTAAATCATAATTATTATTAATCATTTTAATTATTTAATCATAACTACAGACACTTAAAAGCATACATTTATCATTTTATTAATATATGCATGCATTTTAAATGAATTACTATGCTAATTAGCTCATTAACTCAATATATATGTTAATTTATCAATGAAAATAAGTAATTAATGATTGCTTTGCTACTTTCAGTTAAGTAAAAAAAAAAATTCTTTTACTAATTGACAATGTTTTTTAATAGAACGTGTAAAGAATCCGTGTAGAATGTGAAATTATTGCCTTTTTAGAATAATAATGCCCTTTTTTTAAACTTTTGCACCCTGCCCTTTTTTCTGCCTAGAATGAGCTCTGGAAATAAAAGTGGACTCTCTATATTTTATCAATCTACATTTTGTGGCCGAAACCCCCCGACTTAATGACAGGCGCACATTGCCCTTAAGAGTCCTCTTTAGACAGCAAAGAGTTTATATTTCCTCTATATTTACTTATAGAGAAATTACATGGAAGCAATATCTTTATTAAACTTTGAAGCAAGCTTTGTTTCATTATATTCATTGAAATGTGTTTTATTTAACATGGTAACCATAATTTTAATTTGTAAGGTAGTATGCAGATTTAATCAACACATTTGAATGAATAAAATGGGACAAAAAGTATTTATTAGTATAAATTAGATATTTAATAAATAAATTGCATTTATGTTATTCTGAAGATTTTATTTACTGTATAAAATAAACCCTTAAATCTGAGGGCTCATCATAGCCTTTTTTGGTATTAGTGCTAGAAATCTAGACCTTACTTAAGTATGGTTGATCATGAATTACGATTTCTTATTATTTGAATTACTGGATTTTTGTTTTCTATTAATTTTTAATTTATTTTGTTTTAATATGTTGCAGCTTGTGTGAGTTTTACTTATTTGCCTGATGAATATGGCATGACAGTGACATTGAGGATTGGTGATGTTGTAATTATCAATGAAACTATATCAGGTAATCTTTTATAAAAAATATTTTTTTTGAGTAATTTTATTGAGTTTTTATTATGAGCTCATGATTTTTATTTCTTTATTTCAGCAAGAAATCCCCCACCCATATGCCTGGCGCCGCGTTATGTGGATAAAATCTTCCATATATGTCTGCGCTTCTATGATATGGATGTAACAAGTGCATTATTTCATTCCTGTGTTCAGATAGAGGTGAAAATGTTTCATGTTTTCAGTTTAAAAGAATGGAAACTTGGCTGTTTTAATATTGATTTAGTAAAAGTTAGACAGATGGAATACTTAGAGAAGATAGCCAACCTTAATTATCTTACCACACGTACTGACCGCAAAAAGAAATTCTTAAAAAAGAAGTCAGTAAATAAGAAGATATTAACCCCAAGTCGATGGTGAAGGTTAAATCACAGCCATATTTTAAGCCTTCATAATTCTATCTTATTAAATTTAAATGATATTATTACATTAGAGTAATAAAATACCAAATCTTTAACGAAATTAAGTTGAAATCATGAATGCTAAGGTTTCTTGTTAGCACTTCAATTTTTTCGTATGTATTTATTTTTACATTGATCTAGGGGTGCACAACCTTTTTGAGTGAAGGGCCACTTGCACAACAGGGTGACTAATGAAGTTTTGCACAAGCATTTAGGCATGGTGATGGCAAATATCTTCTTCAAACATTAGTATTCTAAGCAGTAAATTTTTTATCAGTAAACTTAGTAATATATTTGCAGTAAGTCAGATTTTAATTATTAAAATTCATTTTAAAATGAAAAAACATACTTTTTAAAAAAAAAAATTTCCTATTTATCAAAAATTGATTTATTAAAAAAATATTTAATTTATCATTTTTGATAATAAAAAAATAGTTTTTTTTCCTCTTTTTTCTCATTATATCATGTATTACAAAAGCTCGTTTTAATATAATTTCTAAAAAGAAAAAAAAACTTAATGCTTACAGAATAAAAGTATAAAAAAATATGTAATTTAATGAGTAATATAAATTCAAATTAAATATTATATTTAAAGAAAATTTATAAGATGTAAATAAAAATGTAATTAAATGTAAAATGTAATTAAAACAACATCATTATAGTACAAAATAAGATTAAACATTTATTTGGTATTATACTTCATATATTTCTATTTTTTCAATTATTGTTAGAGGTTTCATGAATTTTAAATAGAAAACTTTTTCTTTTTTGTTTTTTCATGAAGAAACATTTATGCTAAAAAAATATATAATAAAATTAAAAACAGTTCGCCCAATTTTAAAATTTCTCTTGTTGCAATAACATTGTATTAAAATATCAGGACTCTGAATATCACGTGGAAATGAATGACACTAACTGCCAAAAATAATAATAATAATAATGAAAATAACTTGGATTTATGACGAAATGGACACAAATAAATTGTATTAAAAAGGAATTGTTGAAATGAGCGATTTTAAACTTATGAATCAGAATAACATTGTAGTTACAATAACGGGATTAAGGAAAAGCATAGCAATAAATGCAGAAAAAATCGCTTAAAATTGTCAATGAAATCAGCTCAAATTGAGCACTTCAATAAGTAATTATTTAAATGCTTGATTTAATATTCACATGTTGTAATAAAAACTAGAATTTTTTACATTACGGGGGAACACATAGTGCCCCCGAGACGTCAGTCTAAAAAATAGTTGCAAAGTAACTTGGATTTATGACAAAATTGGCAAAAACAAAGCACATTAAGAAGTTATCATTTATATGTACACAGATTGAAACTTGTATCATAATATTATCGTAGTAAAAATACAGGGTTTCTATGAAGCAAAAACTGCCTTAAATATATAAATAAAAAGATTGAAGAACATTTAGAGGAATGTTCACAAATAATACATGTCAAAAAGTGATAAATTAACTGTGTGATTTATAAATCAGGTTTGGTAATATCATATTAAGTGTATCAGGATTTTAAAAAATACCTAAAAATCGTTAGCTGTAGTTGTCAAAAAAAAAAAAAACTATCAAAACAGCACTTGGATTTATGATGAGCAGCCGAAAATAGGTTTACAATATAATCTGCAAACTGAGTATGTCAAAAAGAATTGAGATTCTCTGTGAGCTGCACAATGACAGTCGGAGGGCCCGCAGGTCGCTGGTTGTGCATCCCTAAACTAACCATCTGGTAAACAAATTTTTTTTAATCAAGTTGAAAATGTATGTTAATTGTTATTTATTCTTTTATAACATTCAGAATTTTATCAAATTAAATTTGAATGATATTTCACTGAAATAGTAAAACATGAGTGTAATTAAGGTAGCTTTATAAATTTTATACACTGAGAATCTCTTGTTGGTATTTTAATTTGTTCTTATGTATGTATTTTTTGTATTAACCTAATTTTTTAAACTTTTTTTTCTGAATTCTATTTTATTAAATATTATAAGCATTACATTGGTGGAATAAAATACTAAAACATTAATTTATGAAGGAATGTATTTTTACGTTAACCATTTTTTTAACAAAGTTTATGATGAATGTTATTTGTTAGTAGTTTTTTCTATAACATTCAGAATTATTAAATTTGAATGCTATTACATAAGAAGACTAAAACACAAGTGTTATTAAGGTAACATGATAAATTCTATAAGCTATGATTTTCTTGTTAGTACCTTGATTTTTTCTTGTATACTAACATAATATTATATAAAAGTTTAATATAAATATGTATATTAAACTTTTTTTTAAAACCAAGTCGATGATGAGTTACCTTAGTTTTTTATATGACATTTAGAATTCTATCGTATTAAAATTAAATATCTCATTAGATTTTATTAAATTTGAATATCATTACATTAGAATAATAAAATATGAAAACATCAATATAAAGTGAAATGATAAATTCTACAAGCTAAGGTTTTCTGTTAGAATTTAAATTTCTTTCGCATTTATTTTTTATATTAACCTAATTTTTTAAACCAAATCATATCTTTTTTTGTATCAATCATAATTTTATTTTATTAAATTTGATTAGTATTATACTAAAATGATTGAATATAATGATGAGTGCTATTAAGGTAACATAATAAATTCCATAAGCTCAGATTTTTCTTCTTAGTACTTTAATTTCTTCTTGTGTATTTATTTTTTGTACTTATCTTATTTATTAAACCAAATCTATGATGAATCTTCGAACTTATTTTTTTAATAACATTTAGAACTGTATTTTATTTAATTTAAATAGCATTACATTAGAGTAATAATATACCATAATTTTAATGTAAGTTGTAATGATAAATTCTGTTAACTAAAGTTTCTTGTTAGAACTTCAGCTTCTTCTTGTTCATTTATTTTTTATAGTAATTAATTTTCTATTTCTACATTTATTTAAATTTATTAAAACAATAAAAAAAATTACTTTAATATTTAATCTGATAAAGCTCACTTTAAAATACAAATTTCTTTTCATCTCTATAGAATTATTGCAAGAAAGAAAAAAAAGCTGAAATTGAAATAGGATTAACGTTAAACTTTAAATTCTAAGAATAATGGTTTTCTTATCGTACTTTTTATTTTACAATATTATTTAATATTGTACTAATTATCTTTATTCTAAGATGTACGGGGAATTTTTTTTTTTTAAAGAATAAGAAAAGAAAAAAAAGTCTTCTAATATCCAAGCCTATTTTCCTAGATTATGCAGCAACAGAGTAATATGATTAGGAGACATTGGTATCATTAAAGTAACATATATTTTTCTTTATGGTACTTTATTTTTTCTTAGTTTAATTATTTTATTATCCAGTTATTTGTTTTTTTTCATTATTATTTAATATTGTAGTTATTGTTTGTAATCTAAGGTGTTAAAAAAGATAAAAGTAATTTTTAAAAAAAATTCCTTCTAATATCTGACTTAAATTTTTTCCTTCCTAAATTAAAGAATAATAAAATAGTATTATGAAGCTAACATGTATTTGAAGTTACTCTTCAATTAAAGTTTTCTGTTGGTTTAATTTTTAGTCTTATTATTCCATTCTTTTAAAGCCAATAGTTTTTTGAGCATTGTTTACTGTTTTAGTTCCTTCAATTGATTTCATTGAAAAAGAAAAATCTGGTAATGTTTTTAAATTCATATCATGATTTGTAATTTATAATAAAATTTTTCCAAATCTACAGCATCATGGAGGGACTTTTTTTCATTTTCTTGCACTTTCTCCCACACTCTTGGTTAGATTTCAGAGCAATTAAATAGCTAAATATTAATAAACTTAAGATAAAATGATAAGGTCTGTAAATTTATTTATATCAATGCTTTAAATGTTTTCTATTTTATTTTATTTAAAATTGTGTAGCATTTTATCACATTACTTTTAATTTTTTTAAGAATATGTATAATGTAAATTTGTATTCTATTCAAAATATGGTGATCTCTTGTAGTTAAAAATTTTCTATGAAGTGGTAAAAATGTTTTTTTATAACAATTCACAAATCATGTAGTTAGTTTTAAAAATAAGTCATCAAATAGTGTATTTTAAACTCTATTTTATTGTTAGTGGTACGGTTGCATTTAAGCACTTAATTTTTTAAAATTACAGTGTTGAAAATATTACCCAACTTCATTAAACTTTGTCAATTTTTTTTATATTCATTCAAAGGCTAACCATTAAAAGCCTCTAAAATGAAAATAAATAAATAAAAATTTGACTTATTCACTTTCATAATTAAAGGCCCAATTAATTTACATTACTGGTTCAAAGAGCCATCCGGGCTAATAATCTGTTTTAATCAAATATGTAGCACTAGTTGTTTCTGTAATGCTAATTGTTCTCACTTTCAGAAATAAAAGTTCAGTTCATTTACATTGGTGATTCAAAGACATTGTTATTTGGCCATTCTGGCTAATAATCAATTATATAAAGCCAATTGTTCCTATTTTTTTTTATCAGCCATCTTACTAAACGATCTGTGATTTAAGCACAATGTAATTTTATTATACATGAAAGATTTAATTGACACCACATCATGGTGCAAATTAAAACTTATTTTTATAAGAGTTATTTTTGTATTCTGCGAGCTATGAACAGAGTTATACTTGTAAAAACTAACTGTGAACTTGTAAAAACTAAGTAAAATGTGATACTTGTAAAAACTAAACAAATATGTCATTCATTTTATGTTATTTGTAATAAAATTTTAGAAGTGGTGAAATAGTTGTTTCTATTTTCCACTTGTAAAATTTTATATGTTATTTCATATTGATATTTTTGAACATGTTCTAAAATTGTGCCATTAGAAAAACTATATAATATGCCATGATATTAAACTAGTTTTGTTAGAAGTCAAAATGTGATAAGCTTTATTATATATTTATAGTCCATTTACTATACTTCAATGCATTAACTAGTCACTGTAAATTACTAGAAATTTTGCTAAGAAACTTTGATATTTTTATAGCAATATGAATTAAGAGTTATTTAATGCATGTTTTAATATTCCAAACAAATATTTAAGTGTGCTTTTTCACAAACTGTAGAAATATTTTTTTTAATTTTTGCCTTATAAGGAAAATACAGTTCTAAACTATATATCAGGAGTCGAACTCTAATAAAACTTGAAAATATATTTCCTATTTCTAATTGCTGATATGTTTTTGTTTATATGATACATATGTGTTATATATGATACATATTAACTGTCATTACTATTTCCCCATCAATTAGGCTTTTATATTTATAGTAATATCTTATATTTTAATGATTCAAGCCTAAAATAAAACATATACTTAAATTATGTTAAATACTTTGTTCTTGTTGCTTAAGAATTATATTTTAATTAACAAAAACACTTGATTGCAATTGTTTGATTCAAATGAATTCTAATTTCTTTCCTTTAAAAAGGTTTACTATGCATTATTTGTATACAAAATAATTGAAAAACTATAATTGATATATTTTATTGACATCATTGCAATTTGTTTTGATCAGGCTCTCATGTTTGTTTATGTTGAGTTGGCTCACAAGAAATTAGTGCTGTCTCTACAGGCATTATTATTCATATAAAATATTCAAAAATATTAATATTATGTTATATCGTGAAGTTCATATACAATACAAAGTTTGACTACTATCAAAATTCCACCTCTAAGCAGAAGTTCAATAAAAAAAAATTGCAGATATTTTTATTGTAGTAATTCTTCAACATTAATATGATAAATGCATTTATGTCAATGTGCATTATTGTTAAAAAAATGTGAAATAATTTTTTCTGTCAAAGTAAATTTAATTGGAATGATGACCATAGAAGATGTCAATCTTAATTTTGAATTATTATTGTTTCATACTTATTAAGTTATTTACTAAACAAACCATTTACTTAATAATGGCCTCTCCTATATTACATCTTATCTAGTTATTTTTTATCCTACACATCTATGTTATTATTTTATGAGATTAATAGCATAGATTATTTTAGGATTAGATAAAATAATCTATGTTATTTTATCTAGTTATATTTTGTCCTGTATCCTTATCCTCTGTTACATCTCATGTAATTATCTTTTTTACAGCAACTTGAATGGTATAAAAGCTTTATATTTAGTGTTTGTGTTTGAAAACTATTTTCACTGAAACTTTTTTTTATACCAATTTTCCTATTATACACTTTTTATTCTTATTTTTGAATTTTTGTGGAACAATAATTTTTGTATTCTTGTTTTTTTTTTCTTTTTATATAGAATAAATATAATTTCTTTGAATTTTTCTCAGTTTTTTGTCATTTAGTTCCTTACATGCTTGCAATCTGAAATTCTTTATAGAATTTCAGATTTAATTGTTTTAATAAAAACTTGGCTTTATTTTATATTAAAAAATTAAAAAAACCAAATTCTAGAAAATTTTCAAACAAACCCTTTACTTTCTGTATTTGTCATATAGAAACAAAATTATGTGATATAACTAATATTTAGATTATAGAATCTGAGGATTTCGTGAATGGTTAATGTTCAGTCAACTGGAGTAATACTTCATCCCTGGTCAACTTACCAGACTTCGCATCATAGTTTTATCACTTAGAACGTTTGGGGTTTGCTCCGACCTCTACCATTCAAAAATAATCAAAAAAGGTTTAATTTGTTTTAATCTTAAGGAAAGAATAGATATATTTTATCCCCCTTTTTTCTAAAAAAAAAATTGTATTGGAAAATGTCTTGAAAACAAACTTTCAATATTAATGCAAAATACTTATTAATGATGCAATGGCTGGAATTTTTATTGTAACTTTCATTTAAAGGAAAATGCATATTAACGAGTTGAATGCCACACTAATTTTATATGTCTTGCTCGCCTGGCCACAACGGTAAATAACTACAAATTAAATTTGCAAATATTAGACAGATTTTGCTAGTTTTTTAAAAGGTTTAGCACGACATATCTGAAGAAAACTGGTGAATTATATAAGCCTACAAATTGTTTAGAAATAATGGCGGATAAAAATCTACTAAATTGAATTTATTAAACCAAGAATCACAATTAATAAACTACCTGTTTGAAAATATTTATTCGCTGTCCGGAGCAAGTTGGCATCTCTGTGTATATAAATAAAACTATTTTTGTGTGTTCTACATTTTATTAATTTCTTCAAGCCATTTTAGTAACGATAATAATGCAAAGAAATTAAAAATTTACTTGAATTATGTGTTTCTAGTAGTCTTGGCTTCGTCGGTCACCGGTGCCCCCCGTGGCATTCAGCGTGTTAAATATGCATTAGGCGATTGAGAATCTAATTGGTGGATTTTAGATAGAACGATCAAACCAGTTCCAGTAAGAATATTCCCTAAGTTTTTTAAAATAATGACTTGAATATTATATTTTTTAAGATTTCAATCTTTTCTGTTGTAGTTTGTTTTAATGGCAGATGTATTTAAAACAGTGGTTAAAGAATTACTATTTAAGAAGAATTCGAAAATCTATCATGGAAACTATGAGCTGGATTGTTTGACTAGTGAGTAATTAACATTTCAAACGTTGAAATAATTTCGATTGTGCTCCATGTCGCTGAATTCGTCATTGTCTGGGCATTTATCATCACAATTTTCAACATTATAAGCCCATAAGAACTTTTGTGAGGATTAACTTTAAGTTTCCAAACACATTATCGTACTACTTTTGTGATGTCAGCAAGTCAGTTAATCCAGCTCTTAAAACAGACATTGCCCACTGTATATGCATACATCGTCGCAATTTTGGTCGTTGTAATATTCTTGTATATAATTAATATGAATGTTTAGCTATATAAAAGGAAGCAACTGAAATTAGTCTGATCATAATTAGTTATCGAGTGTTGAGAAGCAAATATTAATATTCTGATAATGTAGGCTAATTATTAAATGTTCTCTGTCCCCTTCTCATTTTGGCTAGTATACTCCCTTTATTTCTGCATTTTTTTTTTCTTCAATAAAGTGGTTCACATTTGATACTCCAATTATCAAAGTTATATATTTCTTTTAGTATATGAAGGTGCTCGCTCATTATTCACTTTAGTTTTATTCATTTTTCCAGTTTTTACGCTTTAATTTTAATATATTTGGGGCTCAGCCTCTTGTTTGGTGCAAATCCTTTTTATCTAACAAACCCACAGCAGAGCAGATTACCAATGAATCGGTTGTATTGGTGTAGTCAGTATATTAAAATCTGTTCTTTACGTGCAAATTTAAATATTTTAATTTGAAAATACTAAGATATTTAGCTACTGGTATTTGCTAATGAGGTGTGAATTTTATTTTTTAAACCGCTAAACTGCATTCTTTCAGACAAGAGGGGGGGGGGGGAATTAGCTTCTTACCAACCACAAAGAGTAGTTTCACAATCATCTAACAATACACATACGTCTTACAAAAGTATAAACATCAAGCCCCCAAATTTAAATATTATTATTTTGCAAAATAAAGGCACCTTATTTGTCCATGTTATCTTTTGAAAATTTAAGAATTTTCTTTCCTAGCTCTTCGGGATTATAATTATATTATGAATTCTATCAACGAAGTTAAAAAACGAAAACATCAAACTTTATGCTCCAAAACTAATTCAAATTTAAAGAAGGCGAATTTTTTTCTCAGGCCTAAAAATATCTGGCTGAAAAAAACTATAATTTTGTTGTGATTAGTTTTTCTTTTATATCAAAGTTTCGAAAAGCCTATAAAAAAGAAAAACGGACATAAATTATTTAATCACTACAAAACTAATTTGAAATTTAAACGAAGTGAGGTATGTTGTTCATCTTCAGATGTAATGTGAACGAGGGTTTAAAAAGTTATAATTTTCGAGCTAACAGTTTTCGTTAAATTGAAATCGACTGATACTATTTTTTTTATTCGATTTCTCAGGAACTATTCAACCGATTTCACTCAAACTTTGTATTTTTCCTTGTAAAATTGCATTCTTTAAAATTATGTAAAAATTTGTATACCTTACGATTTAAAAAATTTTCGACTGCCCAAGTAGCACATAATATTAGATTATATCAGAAAATCGGCAAAATCTAACGTTATCTTGCACAAGTTCTAATATTAGAAAGATACAAGAGGTCGCTGTTTGCTCAGCCTTATATAATATTAGATTCTATACAAACTAATATTATCTAGCGTTCGCCATAATATTATTTTGCATTAGTTTTGATGCTATATAATATTAGATTTTGTATTTTCTGATATTTCTGCTTTGCTTTTTATTTTTTTGGAGTAAGCAAGAGGAAGATATGGATAGTAGTAGAAAAATTCGGCGATATAATTTTACTTAATTTTCTGTATTTTTGTGAAGCAATAAAACATAGAACAATAGTTTTATGTCATTCCATACATTATTTACTTAGCAATACAGAAATACTAAATAAAATTATATCAGTGAATTCTGCTACCTTCCATTTTTCTCCTCTTTACTCCAAAGTATATCTAATGTTCAGCTGATTTTTTTTAATATTTCGAACTTAATTAGGAAATATTTTATTGAAACTTTTATTGATATTTTTTTTCTTTTCTTCATACAATGGGTTTTAAAGCAAATTTTATATCATTAATAATTTTCAAGTCTTTAAATTTAAAATGTACTCTTAATTAAAAAAAAAATGAGCCTATTTTATCAAAAGCTCAATTGAATTTGTTAGTTTGCAATATATATATATTTTAAAATTTGTAATTTAAGCCATTTGTAATTTTACAATTATTAATCATTATTTATATTCTGAAATTGTAAATTAAGAAAACCATACTACATAATTGCTAAGTTAAATTTACATTTGAATTGAGTTGAAAATTTACCTTAACTTTTTTTTCTACTGGTATATAACTAATTTATTCATTTCCAAAAATATTAAAATTAAATTATATCTCAAATTTTTAAATTGTTATTTTTTGTAATAACTGACACAATAAAGAAAATTGAAAATTATTCAAATTACTTACTTGCATAAATTATTTCACTTCTATCATTGAAATTAAACAGAGAAATACTTACGTAACTTTATCCTTTTACAATCTGAAATTTTACTTACGAAACACAAGAAACAAAACCTAAGGGCACCTGTAGAAATATTATCAGGGAGTGGAAACAAAAAGAGCTTTTATGAATTTTAATTAAAAAAATTTGCAATTATTTTTTGTAATGTAAAAATAATTTTACATTGGGACATCAGAAATTTTTAACGATTCAATAATTAGTTAAAGGTACTATGTACTTTTATTTACTTGAAGTTTAGATAACATTTATATGTCAAGACCAAAAAAAAAATTAGTAAATATTGTATTTTATCAGAATTAAATTTTCACAAACATTTAATTGCATACAAGAATGAGACGAAAAAACATAACATACTTTTTTACTATAAGTTGCTTTTGTATTGATCCAAATTTGACTGCCATCAGTTACTTTTTAAAAACCTTGCTATCACAAATTTTTTTTTTTAAAATCAACTAATTCATTGTTTGTATTTCGCTGATAAGAGTTTAAGCTTCATGAACATAGTAAAAACAAACAAAACATTATAGGCAAATGTCTTGAATGAGACTTTTTTTAAAAAAAAAAAATTAAAAAAAAGTACACGTTTTCACAAAGAATATACAAGACCTTTAAGATAAAAGTTTAAGCAATATTCTCTTTAGGAATTTTAATCATAATATAAATGTTATTCAGTCAAAAGAACTTTTCACGATTATAATTATTTTACAATAATATGATTTTAAACATGATAAAAATAAAAAAGCATAAATTATTGTCTCAAATTTCAAATAAATAATTATGTTAAAATTTCCAAAATTAAAATATTAAACTCAATGTTGATAATGAAAATCCTCAAGAGTTTCAGTTATACTTCAAAATCAGCATTAAAAAAAATTGCTTTCGATATCATACCGAAAGATTAAAAATCAACCAATTTTAAATATTCAACCGTTACAGTAATTAAGAAAAAAGAAATCCATAATAAATATAACTATTTCACAGCATAATACTTTTATTTAAAAACAAAACACACTGTAATATAAACTTCATCCAATTGTAAATGCAATACATTACCTTCATTGTTCAAAATTAACGTCGACAACCTTGTGGTAAAACAAAAGTTAAAAATACTTAATTGTTATTAAATAAAATAATTTTCTTTTCATAACTTTAAACTGTTTGATACAGTTTGAGTTCTAATTGTTAGTCTATATTTGCTTGAAAATATATTTCCAAGTGGTCGTTAAATGCTTATATGAAAAATTCAGCAACAGTTTTTGTACGCACCACAAAAAAACAGGGATGAACTTCACAAGTTTCCCTCTTTCTCCAAACTTCAACATGAAAGCATCTTTCTTCAACATGATGACTTAAATGGCAGATTTAAAGTGGTCCTTGCTGAATAATCACTGTTAAAATCATTCGCAGTAACGATTGAACTTAAAATTCCATCAGAGTGTGCCATTTCCATTTATAGTGTCTTGATAGTAGATTTCCTTGAAGATGAAAAGCTATACTGAAATTTAAAAAGAAAATACATCAGATTTTGCAATGGAAAAAAAAAATTATAACTATTAAACATTGAATATTTATTTGATACTTTAATTATTTAATTTGAAAATGTTTTTCAGAAATTGTAATATCCTTTACAATGAAATTAAATGGTTTAATTGCGGTATCGATACCAGCGTAAAAAAAATTTCTTTAGTGTCACACAAAAAATAACACTGGGTGGTCCGTTTACTTTTTTGCGCACTGAACTACCACTTGTATCATTAAGGCAATTTTTCAAAATTTGAGTCCAGCTGGTTAAAATTATTCTGCATTTACGGTCTATTTAAAATAATTAATTAATAAGTAGCAATAGTTTATAATGTATGCAATAGTTTATAATAATTAAATATCTTACTTATTGAAATATCTACACTTTTCTAAAATGTATCTGTAATGTGTACTAACTCTAATGATTAGCATTTGTTCTTCTTTCAATTTCTCAAATTTCATATAATTATAACTAAGTAACGTTTTTTAGAGAGAAAAAATGGAATTCAGATGTATTATTTTATTCAAACATTAATTCAATAATTTAAAGAAAATCAAAATTGGTCTGAGGAATTATTGAACTGTTCTTCATTTATGTGGCACTACAGCTGTATAATAAGCTATTATCAATGGTCTCGCAAGCATCCCTGAGGATGATCCAAAGACATGCCATCACAATTTTGATCTTCAGCAGAGGGTGTTCCCCCGCTATAGTAGCCCGACGACCTGCGCTCGAAGTCGAGCACATAAAGTTAAAGTAATTTAACTAGGATTGATACTGCGCTCCCTCGGTCCCTACGCAGGCTTATCAAAATGGTCATCCACCCGCTCACTGACCGCAGCCAGTGAAACTTGAGTGGTATTCTGAGAAAGTTTTAATCTTGAAATGAAGTCCACTTGAATGTTTTATTTAATTTTTGTTGTATGAAATATTTCTATTTTAAAAATGATACAAAATGTTTTTTAACATCGAAAATTTTGAAAAATTAATATAAAAATGCATGATTTTTTTATTACTTAAATTTGTTTGACAAAAATTTTCTTTGTTAAGGTCAGTAGCGTAGTTTTGGGGACTAATCCCCTTTCAAAATTATACATTCTTGATTATGAGCTATTTATTGTACAGTAAGTATGATGTAGATATAAAAAAGTATTAATCATTCATTTTTTGTGATTTAAACATACACCACTGGTTAGGGTGGATGTCATAGCTTTATTGATTTAAAACAAATTTTTTAACTTATCCACAAAAAAAAACTTTTATTGACAGAAGTTTGAATTAAAAATATAATTCATTCGAAATATTTTTACGTAATTGTTAAAACCCATCAAAACACCGTGGTTATTTTCCGTTGGCAATTTTATTTTAAGCCAATATAAATAAAATAATGTAGAAACGGCACCATAAGCACATTTCAACTGGTTCTTTTTATTCGTTTATTAGCGTTCTACGTTGTTTCTAGACTAGAATATTATATATTTTACTAATAGCTTAAAAACACACACACATTTTCTCACATGAAAAAAAATATATTTAAAAATTAGATTTTCATTTTCGAACACATTTCGTCAAAAACTCCTAAATATTATCTCGTAAACGTCTATTAACGTAGCAACTATCGTCTCCATAGCAACCTTTTATTGATAGATCTGGTTTAGGTTTAAGTGTACACTTTGAACGGAGAGCAAAAAAATCTGAAGCAAATGAGCATGCGTGGAAGGAAGTAGGGAATTTTCCCTCTCTTTTCAAACAGAGCTTTTTCCGTTTTTTATTTACAATGATTTTTGCATTGTTGTGCAGTTTATTTAACATTTCACGTTTGATTATTGTTCTCGCATTTATTCATTCGTCTCCGTGATATCACTCTGTAGTAAATACAGCTGCAGGCAGAAATACCGGAAATTATTATTTTTGTTAGAATATATTATTACAACTCGCATTTAAGAGCTAAAATACTTCGGTTTAAGAAAATCTTGTTTAATTATGAAACAATTATTCGTAACCTGTGTTTTATCTTTAGGTAAGTACCCTAAATTTATACGTATCTTTTGAAAATCTTTGATCATATTTTGTGAATACATTTCTTTATTATTT